ACGTTGTGCAAGTCCACTACCTTACAATGAGATGACCCTGCACTTTCTCCACCAGTTCTCTGGATCAGGAGGAGCCTGGGGACCACAGACTCCAGTCTCTGTCTAACTGATTACTAACTAGTGCTCCCTCACACCTGCCTGTGTGCACTCATGCTGAGGGCCCCTGGTCTGTGCTGCCACCACCTCACTAAAACGACCCTCTTCCCTCTTCTGTCTTGTGCTTCTGTGACGTATGTAAAGGGACAATTCCAGCTCCTGTGCTCCCTGGCTGGCAGGGCTCAGGTCAGCAAGTGGGGAGGACTGGCCCAGGAGGACTTCCTCCTCGCCTTCTCCAGCCCTCTCCACTCAGCTCTCCAGGGCTAACCAGTAGGCCTGGTATCCCAGCAAGAGAGGGGCTGTCCCTGGAGCTGTCCTAAGCAAGGACCCTAAAGACATCTGCTCACAAAGGAGAAAGTCTGGCCCAGCAAATGCTCTGCTTACGCTGCCCATAGGACCCTAGGGCACCAGAATCTTCCAGACATCTTCCTGGCCACCATCAGGGCCAGCCTTGTGATCTAGGATCCTCCCTGCTGCGCTATTTGAGAAGCTTTCTTCCTGCCAGCATTGGGCCAGGTGCCCTGGACATCGGTGGCCAAGAACAGGCTTCCAAAGGCCAAGTGGAAGGTGACATCTTCAAAGGGCCCTCAGACTTCCCAAAAAGCTCTGGCACACAGCCCTGACCTCAGGTTAGTTCTTCCTGTAAATGAACTCCATGAGGCTCCATGAGGGCAGGCCTGTGTCTGTCTAGTCCACTGCTGTATCCCTGACCACCCCTAGCCCAGGGCTGGAATACAAGCGGTACTCAATACTGATTTGTTGAATTAACGTATAAGGACCTCCACCAAGGAAGGAATGAAAGCAGAGTGGGACGAGCCCAGGTCTGGGAGTCAGACAGGCCTGGATGTGAAACTCCAGCTATACCATTTACACTGGTCATACACAAGCCACTTTACTCCTCTTGGCCTCAGCTTCCTCTACAAAGTGGGGATCATCACCCCCACCTCAAAACATTGCTGTGAGCATTAGATGGAGGTGATATGTAAAGCCTTGAACCCAGCTCGTGGCAGAAGGCACTTTTTGTTTTCAGTTCATAGACACTTTTGTGGCTCTCACTGTGTACTAGACACTGTTTAAACATGGTAGGAGGGATCCCAGATCACAATTAGTTTGTTTAATTCTCATAACAATCCTGTGAAGTAGCATCTATTTAAATCCCTTTGCAGTTGAGAAAATTGAGGCACAGAGAAGAAAAAGCAACTTACCCAAAGTCTGATATCTAGAAGTGGCAAGGCCAGGATTCACAACAATTCCAAAGTCCAAAATTTTAAGTGCTACACTTTTCCGTCTCTAAAGCAAGCAGTCAATGACTGTCAGCTCCTGTCCGTACCCTGGTCTGATTATGGGAGGTGTGTGACCACATTGCCAGACCCGGGTTTTCAGCTGCAACAGAAACACACCCAGGAAATCCCATGGTTCACTGTTTTGTTCAGTCTTGCTTTCAACTATGGCCTGCTCCTCTGACATTCAATTCCAGACAAGTCTGCTGATCAAGAGCTTCTCTCCCATCTTCCCCTCCTGCTATCACCTCCACAACTACCCACCAGAAAGAGAGACACACAGCTATGTAAAAATAAGGAAAAGAAAGGAAAGGAAAGGAAAACACAGAGAAAGAAAGAGAGTGCGCTTGCAAGCTCTGAGGAACAAACTGGAAGGTCTCATCCTCCTTTTCAGCATCCCTGAGAACAACTACCTACACACAGGGTGTCCAAGGCAGAAGTAATCTGACCACATGGGGACCAACCACACAGAGTCTCAGCTTCCCCCCAGACCAGGGAGCAGAGAGAGAACTAAGCCATCTCTTCTAATGGCCCAAACCTCATCATAAAGAGAGCTTTCCATTTTTCCCCTCTATAAGATTGCATTTGCCCTACTGCCAACCACAGAGGAAATTTCATTACCAAAATAAATCAGCGCTGCACTTGACCTCACTTCTCCAACGGCTCAGGATTAGTGACATCACAATGCACTCTACAAAAGCTCAGAAATAGCCGAATAACCCCCTCAAGTCAAAAACACTTGGTATTTCACTAAAAGGCATTAAATTATTTTGATTTTACTCCATGGAATCCAAAATGCTTTCAATGTTTTCATTTTCAAAACGCTTAAGAGAAAAAGTATGCTCTTAGGACCTTAAGAAACCTCAGCTCTGGTCTGGTTTGTGTCCTGATTCACGTATGGTGAGATGGGGAACAGGCCAGAAGCCAAGGAACAGTAGCTCTGGCTCCACACTGCTCACATGGCTCAATCCCCGAGTGGCTGGGGCCTCACTGCAGAGGCTTCCAAATCAACCTTCTCTCGCCCTCAAGGTCACAAGCAAGTCACAGGCAGCTCCCAGGCACCTGGGGCAGCTCCTCGTAAGGGGTCCAGTCTCCATCTCCCACAGGCCAGCTAACCACCATGTTCCCTCCCACAGCAGCAGCAGAAACAAAGCTTGTTTGCCAAAGAGAGGGAGTTGAGGGGGATGTTTCCTCTCCAAGGCAGTTGCCTGAGGTGTGGGGGGCTTCGAGGCCACCGCAGCAAATGCATCTCCCACACCCCCAATCAGGACACATGACCCTGCAGTTATAATTCCTAACGCTGCTTGCTCAAAAAGATTGCCACATTTTACACCAGGCTGGTCACCAACAGTCAGTAAATATAATGCTGATTTAAGGAAAAAAGAACCCATGCATCAAGAGCACGTGCTCTCACTCAGGAGGCACTCAGAATCTGAGTACCCTGGGTATTAACGTGCCCCCACAACTACCACCACATGTGTCAATGGACTGCTCACTGAGGTACAAGTCACAAAATCACAGCATGGTGAAATGTACAAGTCTCAAGGACCCACAGACATCATCCACTTTACCCTCTTTTTTGACAGGGGAGAAAACTGAGATGCAGACCAAGGGTAAGACTGTTCAAGCTCACTGCTGGTGGATGACCCAAATCCAAAGCTTCTCACACAGTTCTTTTTCCTAGCCCCCCGCCTCTGCCACCCGCTAACCAACCAGAGCTCTTACACAATTATTTTCACAAAAAATTATTTTGATCATGGAGTTACAGGCAAATTGGTTACATCTACCACAGCTGCTACCTAAAAAGTAAAATCAACAGAGAAGAAAACAAAACTGGAGTTGCAAAAATTAACTTTTGCTTTGAATGATGTTCTCAGCCTTGAAACCTCGCTCCTAAAGGGCCAGTGCCTTTCGCACTCTCCCCCGTGAGAAATGAAGGGCAGCAGTGATTCTTGACCAGGAGGCCCAATACTAGGCCAATATTTAGATTAAAACCATTTCTGGGTAAATCAACGGGAGTCGTACAGGGCAGAGTGGCCCGAAGCCACCTTCACTACTCCTAATAAAATCGGCTTCAAAGAAGGCTCAAAGATTGAAGTGCTTTTCTCTACCTTTAAAATGGGGAGGCTGCATTTTCAGGTATGAAGACAAGACCCTGAAAGCAAACAGACAGGCTGAGGCAGGGCGGCCCAGGAAAGATACAAGCACACAGAAAATGGAAGGCCCTGAAACTTTCTACCACAGCAGCTGAGATGTTTCATCCTGAGTCCATTTCACCAGACACGAAGAAGCTTCTTTGGCTACAAAGGACTACATGAGAGCATAAAACAAACACTGAAAGGTTTGGGTTCTCTCTCCCCCACCGTGTGTGACACTGACAGGCGGAGAGACTCCAATGCTGCAGAAAGCAAAATTTTCCTTGTTTCCATTACATCATCCAAGTTGGAGGGGGGAGGGCGGGGAGGGGGGCACAGCTGGTGGCAGCTGCACTACCATCTGCTTTCTCCTAGCAGTGTGTGCTGGTTTGAGCTGCAGCCTCCTACGGCTCCTGAGAGAGGAGGCACAGTATTAAAGGTACAACACCCTATTATGGAAAAGCTTTCCAATTATTTAGAAATAAATCACTCCCATGATAAGTTAACAACCTCAGGTAGGCTGCTGGGCCAGTTCCCTTTGAGTTTAGGTTATTTGTTTGCAACTCTTTAGACTCAGCTACGCTAGAAACTCTGTCAACTCAACGTGCCCAATTAGACAGGCAGAATGTAAAAGCAACCACCTGCCATCTGCTTCCCAAAAGGTAAGCAGCCAAAAAGGACAGGTCTGCAGCTGGAAGCATTTACAGAAAGAGCAGGGGATGCCCAACTCAGCACGCAGGGCCCAGACTACCTGGGTACATGCTGCTGCCTTTGGCATCCCAAGCCATTTGGTCAAGCCCTCTTCGGCACTCACGGAGTTTCTTTAGAACACCCTGTGAGGCATCCCTTTGTAGAAGGGGAGACTGGTGAGAGCAGCCTGGGGAGGCTAACGCCTTGTCTGGCCATTCAACTACAAACTGGCAACAAAGCAACAAACTGGTGCTTCAAGGGTCTGATCGAGCCCACACACATGTTTTATCTGCCCTGTGCAGGGTTGTGTTAAAAAAAAAAAAAAAAAAGGCTGGCTTTTAAAAATGAGTGGATTTTATATATAAACATCTAGATTGCTAGCTCTTCCTAGAAAAAAAAAAAAAATCAAGCGATTTAGCAGCCCAGGCCCCCGTCAGTTCTCTAGAGCTAAGTGGCAGCACTTCTTTTCGATTGGGAATGCATTTTGAAAAACTAGTCCCCACATCTGGTGTCTGCATATGACACTGGAACTATCTATGTTCCTACCTGGACCTTGAGAGCTTTTGATATAATGCCACTGACCACGGAGAAGGAAAAACCCCCAGGGAATAATTTCCCAATGGCCCTTTATTGACTCTCCTCTTTAGTCAAGCTTTAGTCCCTTGGATGGCCAACTCAAATTCCACAAAGATCATTCAACCCAATACAATGATGGAGCTCAATAGAAGGCTACCTGCAATGATCCCTTACTACAAAAGCAGGTTGCAGCCATTTCAAAGCAGCATTCCAGACCACTTACCATACATCTTGCCTTCGTCTGATAAGATGATTTTCCTCCTCCCACACGGTGGATAGATAGCCAAGGCTTCCTGAAAGCTCTGCTCAATGTCGGGGCTCCAGACCCCTTCGGCATCGTTGTCAATCGGCTTATCTGCAGAGTCACTCATCCTTTCCATGTTTTCGGCAGGGCTCTCACTGCCGCTCCAGCTGCTAGGCTCAATTTTGGCGGTTGGATTTTCCAAGCCGAAGCCTGGAGCCTTTTCAAGAAAATAAACCTAGGAGGGAAATCAAAAGATAGTATGATAAGGACGAGGTAAAAACCAACATACTGCTCGTGCTAGTTTTACTGCACATTCTTCAGCTGGCAGCTTTGCTTGGAGAATAACTCCTAGCACAGAGAATATGGAATTCTGAAATCCAAGTGGCTTTCTTCCTTTATGTATCATGTTAGGCACTCAACACAGAAACGCAATGGCAGGCAGAAGCTGGATAGTCTTCATAGAGAGAGGAAGTTTTCATCCGAGAACAGTACCCACTCTGAGTTGCAAGTTCGCAGTGAATCATGCAAAACCATTTACTAAGTGCCTACTATCTACCAGGAGCACTTTGCTCAACGATAATCAAATCTCCATAGCAGAACAAGTTGTTTAAAAGAAAATAAAGTAAAACAAAAGATGTCTGCCTCACTGTGGCAATTGGCATGGTAACTCTAAAATGTCAAACCATCCCAGCATTTGTCACTGAGATCGCCAAGATGCAACATGGTGGCAGGATGGAGGAAGAAAGGAGGGAGATTATTTTGTCACCGCAAATATTCATTCTACTAAAATAGCCATACCGGCTGCCCTGGAACTGCTATTCTATGGCATTTCTCTGTGGGGCTCCTACCCTGTACAGTCAGGTCACACTGCCACACTCAGCTTCTAGACTGTAACCTTGAAGCAGGGACCAAGTTGGCCCCATTCCTGCCTTCCCTGCAACAACTACAAGTGGCCAGCACATCTGCAGAAAAGTTTTACACCTACATGGAGCACTTCATCTGGTAACCTGCTCAGAATTCCTGATCACATAAAAACTGTAGGGGAGACTTTCATTTATTTTTCTGTTGCACTGAAGATTACAGAACCAAAAGAAATCTTTCTCAAAGATTTATTCCCCTTAAATTATGCATGTAACCTCTGGTCATAAAGGGATAAGCTTTCCAAACAAATGTCAACTTGGCACAAACAGCAATGGGAAAATGATCTAATCCAGTACCCCCCGCTGTCTGCACACTAACATATCAATATTCCTTTGTTGAAAAGGCATCAGATCATTAATTCAAGGGCTTCCCAAAAAGGGGAGAAGAATTGCTCCTGGGGATCGATCAAGGAGGGGAGGCATAGGACCTGAGGAGGGAGAGTTTAGTGTGACCACCGTGCCATCCCCTTCCGCTGCCTCAAGTCCATGCAACATTACAGCAGAGGCAGCCAGGAGGGAAGCAGATGCTGGCAGCCCCACCAGGCACCAGGGACGGCTCCGTGTTCCAGGGCAGTCACCTGAGAGCAAGCAACCTGTCTTCTTTCCTTCTGTCTCCCAACTGTATCCCTTCCCCCAGTCCTCCCCCACCTGTGTGTATCAACAGAGCCCAGGTGCAGAACCTCTGAGGCACATGAACGTTACACAACTAATAGTGCAAGCAGTGGGTGCTTTTGGCTTCATATCCTGACACCTTTTTAGATTTGGCAGCACCTGGATAAAGGAAACCCTCGGGTTGTCTGCTTTTAAATGCTGACACTAATCCATCATTCAAAGAACTTGTCAGCAAAATATTTACTACTTCTTACGAACACATGTACAGTAACACAGGACTTTAAAAACCGCCAAATGTTGAGGTATAAATTATGCCACAAGAAAGGGTTTTGTGATTGACCCCCAGATGAACTCTACGATGCCTGCCGTGTGGGCCTTTTGAATTCTCAAACTATTACATTTTTTTGTTGGGATCTAGGAGTCTCATAAAATTCAAGCCGAACTGTACTCTACTCTAGAGTCTGTTCTAGCTCCAAAGCGGTTTATTGGAGAAATTATGAGAATACAAGGGAACACTGTGAACACAGGCTAGTCCATCTTCTCCTCCTCTCCACCTTACCCAAAACAAAATAAACAAAAACAGAACAACAGACACTTCCAAAAACGCAGGCCAGTCCCTGAGCTCTGCGCAGCTCACGGCAGTATGAATTCACTCCAGGGAGTCACATTTTAAGATAAACAGTACATGTGCCCAGCAAGCAACTACTGGGGCAGAGGGACGGAATCCAGGCAGTGAGGGCCAGCTGAAGGGAATGGGGGACATTTATTTGTCTAAAAAGAACATTACCATATAACTGAGAGCCTCAGAGTCTTCAGACCAAACACACCAACACCCTCTAATTCAATGCTTGAAATTTCCTCTAACACTTCTCATCAACTGATCATACAGCCTACGCTTGAACATCACCAATGACAAGGAACCCACTACCTCCTCAATACTACTTTGTACTGACATGTTGAAATTCTTCCATCTATTAGGCTAAAACCCAGGTTCTGGTTAACTTCTACCCACCCAACCCTTGAGGGTCTATCCATCCTCAAAACACTCATTTAGGTATGACAGGAGCAGATGAGATCGCCAAGGCTCCTGTGTTCCAGACTAGACATAACTCGCACCATCCCTCTGCCCGGCCCTCATGAACGCATCCCAGTTTGTCCACAACCCTCAATAAATGATACTCAGAGGTGAACCTATGATCCATAAAACCTCTAAGCTCCCAGACTCCAAGTGCTGTTCCTGAATTCCCTCTCTTGTGCAATGGGTTTAGGAGCTAAAAGCAGGAGCTTATATTTATTCCTATTAAATTCCATTATTTTTAGCCTTAGCCTATGGCTCAAAGCTGGTAAGATCTTTCTGAATCATAATTGCCAAGCTTACTGTCTTTAGGCATTGAGCAACTTCTGAAGAGCTGTCTGTCACATGGGGAGGGTATAGACCCATTCTTCAGAAGTTTCAAAGAAGATTCTGGCTCAACAAAAGGAAAAAGTTCCTGCTAGTTGAACTGTTCAACAAGGGGTGGACTGCCTTATAAGACAGGCAGCAGAGTCTTGCAACAACCCCTTCAAGTTACCTCTAAGGCTAAGAGTCACAAGTCCTTGGTTGTTTGGGGAATGCAATATAAACTAGCATTAATTGATTCACCTACTTAGTAAGCACAGGTACTGTTCTAAATGCTCATATGTTTTTATTCATTTACTGCAAAGGGAAGAATGCTGTGTCCAGGCTCTAGCAATTTAGTCAACTGGAGCTCAGCAGGATGGAATTACCTACTGTGGACAAGGGCCAGGACACAAAACCAGAAGCTACCAGATATATACAGGCCCTCGGTTTTACAACCCAATTGTAAGATGAGGTCCTGTATGGGCAGAGTTTCCAATCACAAGACTGGGGCTGGCTGAGAAAAGCTCCCCGTACTGGATACTGAAATAACCATTCTGGCATTCCATGCCTCAGGTCCCTTCCAGCCCAGCTCAAAATCCACCTCATCCTGGAAACCGTCCTTGTATATAGTGGCTCAGAGTATCAGCCTCACATTAGGAGTACCCTGAAAATGTACGAAATTGGTTAACTACCACCCAATCTACCTGGCTTCCAAATATATCGCAAGAAGCACCTGCTTACTGCCAACAATAAGATCTAATCAATTGAATTATGTAAAGAATATCTGTGCCTGCAGAGCTGATGTGCTCACCTTCTCATCCTTTGAGCAAGGGAGGTAACTTTCACTCAATTCACTAAATGAAGGAGAACACAGAATTGGGGGGTGAGGGCAAGATGATATTAAGGCTCAAACTGATCTGAGTTCCAAACCTGGCTCGCCCACTAGCCATGCAGCCCAGACTAAATTAGTTAATCTCTCAGAAGCTCAGGTTTTATTTGTAAATTGGAGAGCATAAATTAAATTCAATCTCAATACAGAAAAATCTTGAAGGGGTGGAGGGTTGCCATAAAGATTTAGTGTGATAATGAGTGAAGGTACTCCGTCATCTGTAAAATCACAAACAGATGTTCATTTATTTTCAGGTCCTTCATCTCTAGACAATGGTACGCACCTTGTGACACCCAAACACCTACTGATAATGAGATGGTAAAGAAATGAAGGAGCTTCCCTAATGGTTCCCTTTGGGAAATAAATTTACAAAGGATCCTCTTCCTTAAGGTCTTCAGATGATTAAATGGAAAACCTAAATTGGTAACAAACGTCTTTACTCCTAACACTCATCTAAATCTGAACTTCCATTCACAGGTTCAATAATTTTCATATTCTTCTGGAAAGTTTGGTTCAGGGAATAATCCTAAACCTACATGAACGCCTAAAAGGAAAGAGAGAAGGGAACTCTTGTTTGTTGAAAATATACCGTGTATCATGTAGCCCTCGTGTGCCTTAGTTTCCATCACTAACACTTTCCTTCTTTTTTCTGAAACAAAATTGTATATTTTTTGTAGGAAACACTAAAAAAATAATTAAATGAGATGAAAATATGAACTGCTATCCCAAGTCCCTTTTTCAAAAAACTTATTTTTTACTCATTGCAAAAATAACAAATATGACTTTATAAAAAACAAAGTCCTCTCATAACTCCTTCTATATAAGAGAGTGGTAAATATCTTTTCAAATCTTTTTCTGTTTCTTAAAATCATACTAAATACATAAGGCTACAAAAATGAGCTCACGGTGTAGATACCATTTTGCAACCTTTGCTTTTTTCACTTAACATCATATCTTGGACATTTCCCCATATCTTTTATTATTTATTCAATTTATTTAAACTAAAAACAAAACAAAACAAAACAGTTCACCGATTTCTCCCACCTACCTCCTCTAGCAACCATCAATCTGTTCTCTGTGTCTATGAGCTTGGTTATTTATTTTAGATTCCACATATAAGGGAGATCATACAGTATTTGTGTTTCTCTGCTTGACTTATTTCACTTAGCATAATAGCCCTGAGGTCCATCCATGTTGTCGCTAATGGCATAGTTCATTCTAAACTTTTAATGGCTGAATAATATTCCATTGTGTGTGTGTATATATATATACACACACACACACACACACATAGTTTCTTTATCCATTCATCCATCAATGGGCACAGGTTGTTTCCATATCTTGGCTATTGTAAATAATGCTGCAATGAACATGGGGTGCGTATATCTTTTCCAGTTAGTGTTTTCATTTTCTTTGGATAAATACCCAGAATT